TTTATATTTCCTCTCTTCATCTGCTGAATTCTTACTTGTACATTAAAGCCTAATTCGAATGTTACCTCCTCTATGCAGGCTTTCCTGATTTCCCTTATTTGCGACAAATCTTTCTCCTCATAGGGCTCCCTGCTTTAACTAAAAAAGCTGTAACACACACTAAGTATTTAATAAATGGGCAGCTAAGTGGTACAGTGGATAGAATGCTGGCCCTGGAGTCAGGAAGACCTGAATTCAGTTTTGACCTCAGACACTTACTGGCTGTGTGACCCTGGGCAAGTAACTTAACCCTATTTGCCTCAGTTTCCTCATCAGTAAAATGAGCTGGAGAAGGAAATGGAAAACTAACTCAGTATCTTTGCCAAGAAAACCCAGAATGGGGTTATGAAGAGTCAGACACAGCTGAAATGACTGAATGACAACAAAAATGTTGAAATGCTTTGAACATAATAGATGTTACCAAAAATGTTTGTTGGATTGAACTGAATTTAAATATTTTTAACTAGAAGTGTGTAAATTATTTTAGATTAGAGATTCTTAACCTGGGGTCCATGGACTGAAAAGAAATATTATAACTGTTTCAATATAACTGGTTTCCTTTGTAGTCTTACATATTTTATTTTATGTGCTTAAAAACATTATTCTGAGAAGAGGTCCCTAGGCTTCACCAGACTGACCACTGAAGGGGTCTATAAAACAAAAAGTAGTTAAGAATCCTTGTTTTAGAGCAAGCTACTGAAATAAAAGAATGAGTAGAAACAAATTGGTCCCTTTTTCACCATCATTAGCTTTAACTCAGGTTTGTTGGTAATTTGTCCTCAATATTCAGACTTGCTTGGCCCTGGGTTACTTAACCTTTAACTTCTTTCTCTAACCCTGATCAATATACCTTGCTGAGGCAAGTTAATTATAGGGAAGGTTTAATTTGTCTTTTCAATCCCAGAAATCTTGCTTCCTTTCTCTGTACTTAGCCAAGGAGCAAGGATGAAGGAGCAGGTATACGTAGTGTCTTGTCGCTAAGCTTGTAAAATCCTCTATGTCCCCCCTCTTTTTTCCTTTTTTCTCCCTTTTAAAACAAGCTATTTATCTCTACTATTTCCTTTTTAATTTTTCCTTTACCATTTTCATTTCTTTGTGGATAGCTGAGAGGCATCCTTGGTGTGAGGAAGTGCTGGGTTAATTCCTGACTCTGACACGTACTAGCTGTGTGACCTTGGAAGGGTCACTCTCAGTGTCCCCTGGAAACTCTCTAAGCTTATAAATTGTAAAATAATTCGTGAGTTTCCTTACCAGAAGCTCTTTATACTAGTTACATCACAGATCCATTGCTAAATAATCTTTTATTGGTAGAGAAAATTTCCTTGCTGGAGAAGGTAGAGAGTCCTTTGCTGTTGTTCAGTCATTTCAGTAATGTCTGACTCTTTGTGGGGTTTTCTTGGCAGAGACACTGGAGTGGTTTGCCATTTCCTTCTCCAGTTCATTTTACAGATGAGAAAACTGAGGCAAACAAGGTTAAGTGACTTACTCAGGGTCACACAGCTTGTAAGTTTCTAAGGCCAAATTTGAACTCAGGTCTTCTTGACTCCAGGCCCAGAACTCTATCCATTGTGCCACCCAGCTGTCCCTACCCAAGACTGCATAAGTAGTAAGGATCAGAAATGGGATTTGAGCCCAGTTCCTATGAATACAGAAGCCAAGACTTTTTCTTTCCAAAAGAAGATGCCAGACATTTGTCCTGCTGAGGAGCATACAATCTAGTAGGAGATAGAAGGCAGGTATGTCTTACAGTACAAGCTACTTGAAGAATATAGTAAGGGCTATAACAAAATGCCATGGAATGGTCAAGTGGTCATATCTTCCTAGAACATCTGGAAAGGACTCATGAAGAGACTAGCCCTTGACCTGTACTCTGCAGGAAGGACGGGGTTTTGCTTGGTGAACTTAGAAGGGGAGGGCATTCCAACCAGAATGTTGAATTGGAGCAGATCTGTTAACAATTCATTAATTAAATTAAATTCATTTTGGGAAAAACCGTGAGTTAAAGGAGACTTAGGGTGAGTCTTTTTGTAACCTATAATAGTTTGTTGTTAATTTTGAATTTTCATGAACTATGCACATAGATAAAGCACATCTGTGTTTTGTATTTGTTTTTTGTTTTTGTTTTTTGTTTTTTTTTTTTCTTCTGGGGAAAAAAAAGCCAATCATAGCAGAAGTAGTAAGTTTAATATATCAAGAGAGCCAATAAATAATTCTTGCTCCAGAACATTCTTCCTTAATCTTAAAATCTGCTCCATCAAGGAGGAAAAAAAAGAGTTATAATCATGCTGCAAATGTCCACAACATAGCAGAGAAATTTAGAAAGTAACTGATGCCATATCCTGTAGAGGCCTATGGCGTAGTCATCCAAGAACAAAAGGCCATACTAAAGATTCAGGTTAAGGTCAGTTGGTCAGTCAGCCTTTAATGGATGTTCATTGTGTACTAGATGAGACGAAGTTCTTAAGGAAAGGGGAAGGCACAGTCCCTGACCTCTTCAAACTGTGAACTACAAATTGAGGTATAATGACAGACAATGGGTTTTTCTAGACTCTCCTTCCAGTATCACCCTTAAAAGGCCATGGATTTAAGCCCCTTTTGGATTCCACACCTAGTTTATGTCCAGAATACCAGGTACCTCCTAATCTAGGTGGTTTTCCAACCAGAAATGGGAAACAGACAATGCAGAATTATTTTGGATGAACTCTTTTAAATGCTCACAAAAATGAAAAAAAGACTTGGTATTGTGCCAAATATACTATCTGAGGCAATTTATTGAAATGGAATATGAAAAGAATTTTAATTTTTCTGAGAAGAAACATCAAGATACTAGAGCCATTTATCAGGGAAACCGTGTAATTAAAAATTGCCTCAAAAATATTTCTAAAAATTGAATCTAGTTACCTTGTACCACCTCTGACGTGAAGGCTTGCTGAAGCTTTTTCAGGGCTGCTCATCCATCTTTGATGTCTCACCTATGGCTCCAAGAAACTGTAACATGTGCAGGAGCCACATGCTGGTAAAACCATCTCAGTAAATGGACTAAACCAGACTGAGGGTAACCGACAGGCCTTGAACCCATTGGTGAATTAGGGGGATGCCTACCCCAAGCATGTGAAGACTTCCCCTGGTAGAATGGGCAGATGAGAACAATTTGTTCCAATGGCCATGAAGGCGGCTGAAGTAGACGCTGTGGAGAGCTTAGAGCTCGGCCAGACATTGAAGATGGTCATGGTTGTCTACTGCATCTGGGCCATCACCAGTTGTCTTGACTAGTGTCCTGCCACTGGACTTTGATGGCTCTGGAAGAGAGAGTGAGGATGACTTTGTGCAACTCTGCCTCACTTAAATCCAACTCATCTGTGATGTCATCGGTCCTCAGGTGAACAACTCCCTAAGGGCCACCCATAAGAAAAAACCAAAAAACTGAAAAACAACTTTTGCAAGTCTTCTGATAATTCTCTCAAAGAGTCTCAGTCAAGGGCCAGCAACTTTGACATTTTTCTGTTTTTCTTGGAGAATAAGCAATCATAGCACAACACAGAAGAGGAGTAAATGGCTACAAAGCCATTTTGCTGTTTCAGGATTGTAGGATCACAGATTTAGAGCTGGACAAGACTTTAGATTAGGGGCAGCTAGGCGGTGCAGTGATTAGAGCACCAGGCCTGGGGTCGGGAGGACTCATCTTCTTGAGTTCAAATCTAGCCTCAGACGTCCTTTTCCTCAGTTGTAAAAGGACCTGGAGAAGGAAATGGCAAACCACTCTAGTATCTTTGACAAGAAAGCCTCAAATGGAATCATGAAGAGTCTAAAACCAAAATTTTGGAGATCAAGGAGCCAATTATACCATAATTTTCCCTAACGGTTGGAGAAATGAGATAATTGATCAACAATCATTTATTTAAACACCTACTATGTTCAAGGCCAGTGCTTAGTGCTTGGGATACAAATACAAAGAGTAAAACAATACCTACTTTCACGAGCTTATAGGCTAATGGGGGATTACTGTCATATTTAAGTGCTATGTAAATTTCAGTTATTATAATTTTAAAAATTGAAAGAATAACCTGGATTTTGATCGGGTACCTCAACAAGGATGGGGAAAGGATGGTATAGACCGATTGCATGGGATTTCAAATAGGAAATGTTATTGAAGGATAGAGTTAGAGAAAGGATCTGTTGACCCTAAAAGTTTACAACAGCTAATGTCTTTGGTCTCTGGGACAGAGAAAACTCAAAGATTGTGTTAAAACTTGAATTGTTGAATAATTTGTACGATTGAATAACAGTTTATTATTTCTCTTACCTCATTTTTCCTACAAATAGATAATATTCATACCCTTATATCAGAAAAGGAAAATAAGGTAGATTTAGCAATTTAGGAATGAAGGAAAATTGGGGAAAGTATATTTTTTTGAAATATGGCAAAAAAATCCCAGAATCTTCTTTCTTCCTCCATATCTACATTTTCCAGTGGGTCTATGATGTCATTGCAATAGATTTTCCCTCAAGAGATGACAAACACAAACCATTCATGCCTGTTTATACTATACAATTGTTTTTCATAGCTTCCTATGAATTCATCTGTCATACTGGGGGTCAAAATCTTCATGCTAATACACACCCTAAAAGGATAATTTTCTGAATAAATAGAATTGTACATAATACATTTTTTATATTCCTCGACCATCAAAATGCTTTAGGTTTCTAAAGGTGCTAAAATAAATATTTGTTTTAATTTCTTTTTTTCTTTTCTTTTTTTAATTTCAAAAAAAAATATGTGGATTTCTAGTCTGAAACACCCACCTGTTACTTCTGGCAACATTTAGTACTAGGTCCTAACAGTCCACGAGATCTAGTCATGATTGCTATATTGACTCTTGTGGAGTTTCTTCAGAGATAACCACCTGGTATTGTAGGTTGGTTTCTACTCCCTTACACTTTGCCTGTTCTCATTTCACAAGGGATATGGTGTAAACCTCATTACAGCTGATCGAGTGTCTCCACTTCATGAAGCTTGTCTAGGGGGCCACTCGACTTGTGCCGGTGTTCTGTTGAAGCATGGGGCTCAGGTCAGTTCTGTTCATATCTCATCTTAGAAACTGGGATGAAAAAAATGAAACTGGTTAATTCCTCCAGGATATTTTTGAGTGCTTTGTTCATGCAGATTTTTAAATGCTGACAGTGGTTTTCTGCAGAAGATTATATCAGTCAAGTTTTTTTTAATCCTTAGAAAAAAGTAAAATGCGGAATTCCAAACTAATGAATATTACTGTGACATCTATATTTTCAGCTCAGAATGACATAGCTCAGTAGAGCTGGAAGAGCTCTTAGAAATCATCCATTTACATCTTCCTCACTTTGCTGAATTCAATCTGGCATCCAGGTGGGCCTTGTACTGAGACAGTGCACCTCAAGCATGTAAAAATGGGAAATTGCTGTCTCCCAAGAGAGACCCTGAAACCTTACCATAAGTACATAAATTGACCTTGATTTTCTATCATCATTTTCTTCGGTGCCAGCAGGGAATATCTGCCAGCAGTTCCTATTTTCTGTTTCCTACTTCTCATCCAGTTTCTGGGAAGGGGAAGAGAACCTGGTAAAGGTATTAGTGAGGGAATACATGAGTGATGAATGAGGACATACCCAGGACGACAGGGATTAACAATCCTCTATTATCTAATATCTCTACTTGGAAAGTGCTTCTCAAAGTATGCACCCTCTTTTTGTCCCTACCTCCCCATTACGTGCCCAATTTCCTCTCTAACTGTATTTTACTTCTATTTTAGTATTGATGATATTCCCAAAATGAAAAGAAAAATTTAAAGATTGAAGGCAGTTTGGTCCCAGGCCACTGGGAGTTTATTTTAAAATCACACTGCTAATTATTTGCCCTCCACAGATAGATGTGTCTTTTTTTTCTTCTTCAGGTGGATGGAGTGACTGTTGATTGGCACACACCTCTGTACAATGCCTGTGTAAGTGGAAGCCAGGACTGTGTGAACTTACTGTTAGAACATGGAGCGAGTCCTCACGCTGTGTGTGATCTTGCATCTCCCATCCATGAAGCTGCTAAAAGAGGTGAATTTGCAAAAGATTGTGGGCATCTAGGTGGCATAGTGGGCCTCGAGTCAGGAAAACTCTTCCTCCTGAGTTCAAATCTGGCCTCAGAGACTTACTAGCAAGTCATGTAGCTCTGTTTGCCTTAGTTTCCTGTAAAATGAGCTAGAGAAGGAAATGGCAAACCACTCCAGTATCTTTGCCAAGAAGACTCCAAAAGAGGTCACAGAGAGTCAGATACTCCTTTCTTTTTCCTTCCCTCAATCCTAACTTTCTTAAGGATGGATACTGCCTTTTGGGGTTTTTCTTTGTATCCATATCACCTCTTTTGTAACGGAGGCTTAATTTTTATTGAGCCAGGGTAGCAGAGGGGTGTTTCAAAGCTTTTATGAAGACCCCTACTCCAAATCAATCAGGTGTTAAAATAAAAAGGATATAGGTCCCATTATTTAAAGTCGTTAAAAAGAATTAAAAAACCTATTGTCTCAGAGCCAGTGCCCTTTGTTAAGCAAAGTTGGTCAATTTCTTATCTGGAAAATATAATTTCTGTAACTGCAAGAGGCTGTAGTCAAAGAATGCTAATTCTTTTTTCTTTTCCATGAATCCCAAGCTTTCATGTTTAGCTCTGGAGGATTACTGCAAATTCTTTATTTCTTGCTGAATCAAAAGCAAACAAGTTTAGTAAGACAAGATCTGGTTCTGTCTTATATTCACTGCACTAATACTACTGTAAAGATTTATGGAAACTTAAAAAAAGTACACATTTTTAAAATCTGAGGTTTTGGACTTAAAGACAAGCCAGTTCAGTTTAATCTGGCCATGTTTGCCTTACCCTGGCTCCCTGATCATCATTATGTACCTTTTTTTCCCCTCAGTTTTATATATGGACACCAGAGGCATCTGAAAGCTCAATTTGGGCAAGGTTTTTCAACCTTTTTGTTTTTGCCTGCCTCTTGCCCCACTTCTAGGCCCTGTAGTGAGCCCATAGAAGATGAGTTTACATCTTTGCCCCCAAATCCACATGGGGTGCCTGATTTCCTCCCCAACTGTATTTTATCTCTATTTTAGTGGTGATAATATATCAAGAATGAAAGAAAAATAAAGGCAGTTTGTCCCAGGCCACTGGGAGTTTTTTTGGTTTTGTTTTCAAAATTAGCCCTGCTGATTAATTTCCCCTCCATCAAAACCTTCCTGAGAAATCTTATCATGATATGGAGTTCACCTAAGGTTCATGAGGGCTCTGCCAGCTGAGTGGGGGTGTTTGACAGGTCCTTCCAGACTGGAAAGTCTTCAAATGCAGCCTGGCAATGGACTGGCTGTGTTTCTGTCCTTTGAGGGGCAGCCCAAGTTAAGTTCAAAGAAACCCCTCACCAAAGGGTAGATAACCAGATGACATAAAAAGCTTGGCCACAGCACTCATGAAAGGGATGGAGGGGATAGGATGGCTATGGGTGGAGAAGAGATTCACAGCTGTTTAAAGCAAAGGTCTTAGAAGCGTTCAGATTTTCTGTTTGAACTTGCTCACTCTCTGCTCAGTAATTGACTTAGGTTCCAGCTTTATAGATAAGCCATTTCCAGATCTCAAGGTCTGGCAAGGGGAAAATCATTGCCTTTAAATAGACACATTATACTGTGTCTTGCTACTGGACTTACATGGCCGTGGAGGAGGCAGTGAGGCTGACGACTTTGCACAGCTTGCCTCACTTAAATCCAAATCACTTGCAAGTTAGGGCATCACCCTCCTGATGTCATTGGTTCTCTTCGAGAATGAAGGCCACAAAGCAACAATCAACAACAATTATACTATTAACTGACTGTTTTGTCTTTGGCCCTTAGGTCACCTGGGGTGTATGGAATCCCTTGTATCTCACGGAGCAAATATAAATGAAAATATCAGACACCTTGGCACTCCTCTTTATGTGGCTTGTGAAAACCAGCAGATAGCCTGTGCCAAGAGGCTACTTGAATCAGGTAAAAAATGAAATAAAATAAAATAATACATATTATTTAAATAAAATTTAAATTTTAAATAAAAGGAAATAATTTTATAATTTATAGTAATATAGAATTTATATAATACATAAATATAAAAGTTTATAATGTGTAAATATATGAATATATTTATTATCATTTTATAACAATATCTATATTTATAATAATACATTAAAATAGTTATAGTAAATATATAATACTATTTTCCAAACATTTTTCTTGTTCTGTTAATAATCTTTCATGTGAGATTTCATTCCCTTTTTCCTTTTCCCAAATATGTGTATACACCCCAAATTTCTTGCAAAACTGATATAACTATAATTGCATACTACATTATCGTGGATCCCATTCTGTCCTTGCAGTCACAACTAAGAGTGAACCCCTCCCCACCCCTAGCACATTTTCCCCCCCCATCTACTGGGAACATCCTCCAATAAAACTTGCCTGCTCATTACCCTTCAGTCATGCTTTCTTTTATTCTTTCATTGTTTCCTTCCTTATGTTCTTCCTTCTTCCTGGAGTATGGTTATCTTTCTTCTCTGCTTTTCTGAATGCTCCCCATGTTCAAGACACAGATGGAGTGCTGCCTTCTCTGTGGATACCTTCCTAACTGCTCCAGAGAGGCTCCTTCCCTTGGACTGCTATAGCTCTTATGGTCTGTACCTCCCTGCTAGTATTTACTGTCTTGTGTTGTTCTTTGATATGTGTGCGTGTGTATGTGTGTGTATATAGATCTATGTATATAAAGATCTTATACATAGATCTTATATGTAAAGATATATATAAAGATTTATACATATAAATGTGTATATCTGTATATAAAGGTCCATATACACATACATATACATATATATACACACACATATATACAAATATATGTGTGTGTATATATACACATACATACACACATATTTATATATTTGTGATTGTTCAATTATTTCAGTCATGTCATATTCTTCATGACCTCATCTGGGGTTTTCTCAGCAAAGAAACTGAAATGGTTTGCCATTTTCTTCTCCAGCTCATTTTACAGATGAGGAAACTGAGGCTAACAAGGTTAAGTGACTTACCCAGGGACACATAGTAAGTGTCCAAGGCCAGATTTGAACTCGGGAAGATGAGTCTTCCTCACTCCAGGCCTAGTACGCTATCCATTGTACCATGTAGCTGCCTCTCCTGGCACATGGTGGCTGCTAAATAAATAATAATGATTGGATGATCCTACCAAGGTAGAAAGGCTTTAAGTATTGATGTGGTGATGGATTATGTGTCTCTTATCTGAGGATGAGGCTTAATTCAGTTTGGAGAGCTATCCAGAGGTTGGCCACTGGGTAATGACATTTATTTTGGCCACAGCAACTCAAGAAGACTATCTCCTGAGGTAGGGATAGGTTGTGATCTGTTTTAGTGGAGGGAATGCCCACAATAATAAAATCATGGAACTTTGAACTATTGAAATATGTACTTGATTGTTTTCAAGATGCTGTTGCATACATGGTCTCATTCAGTCCTCATATGGCCCCTTGATATAGGTTGGGAATGTATTACTATCATCTCATAGATGGTTTGCCCAAGGTCACATTGCTGGTAAATAGTAGATTTGTGTTGAGGACATAGACAGTCCTGTGTTTTTACACTGCATTTTGCTCATAATAGCTGCTCAGTAAATATTAATTGATTTATTATAATAGGCTGCATGGAATAGTTTATGGAGATCTAGCTTCAAAGTGAGGAAGAAGTGTGTTCAATCTCACTTCTGTTATAGAATGGTCATGTGGCCCTGAGCTGGTCACTTAACTCTTCAGTTTTCTAGGTTACATCTCCAAAACTACAAATTTCAGAGTAGTTATGGATGTGCATGAGTAAGAGGAGTTTTCTATAACCAGTGAAATATAGGTTCAGCCTCTAATTCTAATGTTAATTTGAGAAAGCCCATTTTTTTCTCTCCATCCACGCTTTGGGTAATAGATTATTTAAAGTCACAAGACTCCAGTGGAATGTCTAGGAGTTGGGATGTGGATTCAGCGGTTCGGTGGCATGGAGTCAGATAATGCCAAAAATCCACCTTCCTTTCAATGGGAATTCTTCTGAACCTTCTATTTGATTTTAGTATTGGCCGCCCCAACTTAGAAAATCCCTCAAAATTCTCAGAATCACTCAGTACCCTGGAAGTGACATTGTATATATAGTGCTGGGTGTGGATTTAGGAGACCTGAGTGTGACTGCTGCCTCTCACACTAGCTTTGTGATCAGAGGCAGGTCACTCTCAGAGCCCTAGTTTCCTCATCTATAAAATGGGGATAATTATAGTACCTATCATACAAGGTTGTTGTGAGGGAAGTACTTTGCAAATCCTAAAACTCTTTATAAATGTATAAATGCAAGTTACTACTACTACCACCACCACCACCACCACCACTACTAGCATTACTAATATTACTAATATACTATCACCACTATCATTACTACTGCCATTACTATTGCTTACCACCATCACTACTACCACCACCAGCACTACTGCTACTATTTCCACCACCATGACAACTGTTACTTCTACTATTACTGCCATGAGATAACGACCACCACCACCATTGCTACTGTTGCTACTACTGCTGCCACCACCATCATCACCACTACTAATCCTACTACTGAAACTGCTACCACTACCACCACCACTGTTATTACTACTACTACTACTACTACTACTACTACTACTACTACTACCACCACTATCACAATACTACTACTATCACTACTACTACTGCTGCCACTACCACTACTCTAACCACTATACGCTATTCTTCCTCTCTTCTTGCCACCACCACCATCACTACTATTACTGCTACCACTACCACCAGTACTACTACCATTACTGCTATTACTACTACTACCACCACTACTAGTACTACTGCCACCCACTACCACAATGCAGCCACCACCACCACTACTACTACTACTACTACTACTACTACTACTACTACAACTACTACTACTACCATCACCACTACCACCACCTGACTTCAATTGTTAATCTCCAAAGTGACCTGGTAAAGTTGTGATTACACTGTCTGATATTGAAGGAAATATCACTATATACTCTTATTCTGGCACTACATTTGTGTTTCATTAAGATTAAATATGAACATGAAACTTTGGGGTTTCAAAGTATTTATGGGCTTTATTTCACTTGTTCTCAATGAATCAGTGAGTTAACATGCTACTGGGGGAACTGAATGGCATCCGAATTGTGGTAAATTAGACAAGAAGATATAGGAAAGAAAGAGATAGGAAGAATGGCTCCCAGTGTCTCTTTAGAGGGCCAAATCAAAGATCTGGAAGAGTCGGTTTCATTTTACAGCCAAAGATAGCAATAAACATCATATCACGAGGCACTCACTTCTCTCCTTTTGCAATATTTCCAGTGGGTATGATGTCTATGAAGACAATTACAATATGTACCAACATTTATTTTAAAAGAGAAGCCAGGGAATTCTGTGAAGAGCAGGGAACATCCTCCAAACTTTAGCCAACAGACACCTTGATACTCAATGACTTTAATGTGAAGTCAACAAAAGGGAGGACTATGAAAACTGTGGGAAAATAGGATTCAGGGTCAAGAAAGAAATGAAAGAGAATGCCTTGTAGAGAGTACTTAGAAATTTCATATCTGTACCTCTTGATTACTTTCTTTGAAATGAGAATTGAGTGATGCGCTCAGGAGAGCATTACCGTGAATGAATTTGATCATAATTTTATTGGTAGGATATTAATAGTTTTATATAAAAGAATCATTTCACAGTAACTGTTGCATGAAGTGAGGTCAACTGTTTATAGAGAAGATCAAAGTAAACATCCGATTAGAAAAGAAGGATAGAAATTAGAAGACAATATATGCAATTCTAGCAAGTCCAGTCCTACCTGTTTAAGTGAGCAAAATATGAGAAATGGATAGAATTTATAGAAATTATCACTTTCTTAGAATAACTGAACAGATACAAAAATTTTATAACCTGAATCAAACACAGAATGCTCTGTTTGACCTTCAAAGACCTTCAGGACATCGTCGTCCCTAGCTTGCCATCTAATACCTTACTCTCTACCATGTATTCTTCAGTCCAATGACATTGGCCTCCTGACTGTTCTATGAATAAGACCCTGTATCTTGTGGCTCTGGGCATTTTCTCTGGCTTGGCCCCATACCTTGAATGCTGTCCTTTTTAACCTTTGCTTACTGACTTCCTTCAAGTACCAACTAAAATCCCACTTTTCATAGGAAGCCTTTCCCAATCCTTCTTAATTCTAGTGTCCTTTCTCTGTTAATTATTTCCTCTTTATCCTTATTTGTATGCTTGTTGTCTTCCCTATTAGGATGTAATCTCCTTGAGGGTAGGAACTGTCTTTTGCCTCTTTCTGTATCCTCTGCCCTTAGCACAGTGCCTGGCATGTAGTAGGTTTTTCATGAAATTTTATTAACTAAAAGAAGGGCTCAGAAACTGTCTTAGCCAACATTTACTTGACCCCTTTGCCAAGTGGAGAGACATGTCAGAGGAGGGCAATACCACTTTAGAATATAAGCTAATTTGCAAGACATTATGTAGGAGAATGATAAAAATTATGTGTATTATTAGTATTTTCTCATAAAACATACAATTGTGGGGATAACTTTCATAAGTGACCCTACTGAGTATTACTATCTGTAAGTATCCAACAGAGAAAGTAATCAGTGTACGTTGATTAAATTATGACATTCAGATGGATGACTTAGAGTTAATCTATCCATATACCTGCACCTTGAATAGACAGTGAAGGGAGACAATGAGAGGAGCACAGATTTGAGTAGGGAAAGAGACTACGCTGTTATGCATTTCAGAAATTGCATAGCATTTTTGTTTATCCTAACCTGCTTACTGCTGCAAAAGCCCAAGCAATACCTATGACTTATGTGACATCAGAATTCTAGAATGATCAAAGTTGTTCATTGCCCAAAGCGCTGAAGAAAGATACATTTAAATAGGCTGCAAGATATTAATGATGGTAACTTTCCCAGAGAAGTTTGTCTTAGAGATCATAGAATCATAGTTTTAGAGTTGGAAGGGACCTTAGAGGTCATTGAGTCTAATTCCCTTATTGTAAAACTGAAATCCAAAGGGGCTGAATGACTTGTCCATGGACATACAGCTATTAAGAGTTGGAGTCAAATCCCAGTCTTTCTGATTCTAAGTTCAGTAGTTATCTCCTAAGCCATGCTGCCTCATCCAGTCCAGCCCATTCATTTTCAAAGGCCCAAAGAATTATTGGACATATTGATAGTAAGCATCACAGCCAGGGTTCAGACCCAGATTATCCGATTCTAGGACCATGGGTCCTTCCACTGTAATGCATTGCCTGCCTTCATCAAGGACCTGACTTGCTGGAAAACAAGATGGCCAGTCATGTCATGAGAATGGGAGACCATAGATAAGTAGCCCAAATGGCACATTGTTAACCTATGATACTACACTAACCAGGAGAGAAAGCTGTCAGCCTGGGGGCATCCTCTTGGAGTGTTTATAGGAATTGTTCAGAATAGAAGGACATAATGTAGAGGGTGCACATCACAGGACCATCCAAGTGTTTAAGGATCTAAAGTGTTTGATCTGCAGGGTGGCAGAGGTGTGAGATTATCATCTCATTTGGAAATTAACCGAAGCTGCACATTGATTCACATAATAAACTAAAGGTTTTTCAGACCAAGTCCCATCCCCTTTCAGCAACAAATTTGAACCTGTCCTCTGGAGAGAGTAGCCGCAGTTTGCTCAGGGAAGTCAGGGACCAGTAATTGGAAAGGAATTTTGCAGTTGCAACCTGGTCCATGAATAATATAGATTTTTTTTTACTCTCTCCTTGTTGTAATTGTTTAGGAGCAAATGCTAATCAAGGCAAAGAGCTGGATTCTCCTCTTCACGTGGCAGCTAGGAACTCCAGTTCGGACCTGGTTCATTTGCTGATAGACTTTGGAGCAGAGCCACACTCAAAGAATGCGGAAGGCAAACGGCCAGTGGATTTGGTGCCCCCGAATAGCACCCTAGCACAAGTATTCTCCCAGAAAGAAGGTGCTCCTCCTGCTTTGTTCCAGTCTAGGTCCTAATCTGCTTAGAAGCTTCTGTGCTGTATATACTGAGAGGAAATCCTTTTGTTTCTATAGAAGACTGTTCATCATACCTCTTGGGGAGGTGAAAGTATAACTGATTTAAATATTAACCTGAATTCATGTTCAGGTTACTGGTGATTCCATGCCTCCCCATACTTACACTGAGCCTGGGCATTCTGCATGGACTGGGTCCCCCGGCCAGGTGGTACAATGGAGACCCTAAGGGTATGATGGCCTTAGGGTGGCTGTGAGAGGGGGCGACTGGTTCTCCTTGGTTATGGGTGGGGGAATAATCATGTGCTCCCACATACTGGTGCTTAGGACAAAACCCACGTTAGCCTGCTCTCTTCATTATGGACAATAATTATGTACACACATTAGCTTAATAGAATTCTGGGTAATAGACTGTCAGGTGACAATATATAGGGACAGGGTGGTATAGTGAAATCGTTGAGAGAGCACTTGGAGTTATTCATAGACTTGAATATTCAGAGCTAGAAAGAACTTTGAAAGCTCATCGAATCCAAACCCTGCATTTTACTTATGAGGAAACTAAGGCCGAAATTATTAATGATTTGCTGAAGTCAGGAGACCTGCATTTGACTCTTTACTTCTGAACTCTTACTTGCTCTATGACTTTGGGCCTATTAAAATAATTAAATACAAAATTAAATATCTCTCTGAATCTCAGTTTCCTGTAAAATGGGAGTAATACTTTGCAGGTTTATGTTGTATGCCTACAAAAAGTTGAGCTATTGTTATTTGAATCAGCCTCTCAAATAACTACACACCCTCTACCCCTAAAGGCCTAAGAATATTGGAAATTTAGGTATAGGGTTGCGGCATCTTCTGGTCTGGTGTGTAGATAATGCCTGAGAGAGCATATACGTAGCTTTAAAAGGCAGGGGATCGGGGCTCAATTTCCACTTTCCCAATGCTCTCGTGACCTATAGTGTATTCTAGGAACTGAAGTGAATTCTAAGAAGCCCAGTGGGAAAGGACTGTTATTACTCAGGATGACCCTGACCTAATAATGCCATTTCAACATCTAGCACACAGTCATTTCTCTTGCCAGAAGTCGAGTATCAAGTTTAACCACAGACAGAATTGTAAAAGGGCCTGAGTTTCTTCAGCATTTTCCTCTTTCCCTCCATCTCTCTTTTCAATGCCTTTCTTTTTTCCCTTTTGTCACTCTCTTCTGTCCATTCTCCATAGGTACTGGTGCCTAATCATTGTCTCTTGGCTGCTGTGGGTCTCACCATTTTAACACTCTACTCAGTTCTGCATTAGCAAATCTTGCTTGTTTTGCATCCTGTTCCCTCAAAGCTGTGCTCTACAGAAGGGGTTCTTAACCTTTTTTTGTTTTTTTTTGTTTTTTGTTTCATGGCCTTCTTGGATACCCTGGTCACACCTGTGGACTCCTCAAAAAATGTTTTTAAATACCTAAAATGCATAGATTTACAAAGGAAACCAATTATATTGAAAGAGTTATTAAAATATTTTTCAAAAGAAATTTCATAGTACTTAGGTTAAGAACCCCTCCTTTACAGGGTTCCAATTAACAAGTCCAATAGACCAACTGATTTGTGCTATTGAGTTCATAGTGTACTAATTATTTTTCTCCTGGTAAAATGCTTGCTTTATTCTCATTAAGTCCTCTTCGTATGGCTATTAAATCTTGTTTCTTCAACACTGTTCAAGTTTATAACTTAATTTTTATTGTTTTTTTGCATTTGTCATATTCTGTCAGTAGGGTGTTGAAACCTACTTATTAATTTTTTAATCTACTTCTTGCAACACCTAGTTTTGCCTTTACAAATGTAATTAGTATACAATTCAGTGAATGTACATATATATACATATACATGTGTACGTGTATACATATGTACGCGTATACCTAATGTATATGTATATTTCATACCATATATACATGTACATACATATACATCTGCATAAAAATACACATATACACATACATATGTATGTATGTGTATAGTTATTGTTCATTTGTTTCAGCTGTATCCGATTCTCTGTGACTCAATTTGGGGTTTTCTTGGCAAAGATACTGGAGTGGTTTGCCATTTCCTTCTCTAGCTCATTTTATTTTATTTTTTTGCCTTTTTTTTTTTTTTGGTGAGGCAGTGGGGGTTAAGTGACTTGCCCAAGGTCACACAGCTAGTAAGTGTTAAGTGTCTGAGACTGGATTTGAACTCAGGTCCTCCTGACTCCAAGGCCAGAGCTTTATTCACTGTGCCACCTAGCTGCTCCCTCCAGCTCATTTTATAGATGAAAAACTAAGGCAAATAGGGATAAGTGACTTGCCTAGAGTCACAGTTACAGTAAGTGTCTGAAGCCAGATTTGAACTCAGGAAGATGAGTCCTTCTGACGTTAGGCCCTGTACTCTATCAACTGTACCACCTAGCTGTACTTTTAACTTAAGTTAGGTTCTAATTATTAGATAATTTTTTTCTTACATCAAGCCAAAATATTTCTTTCCCTATAATTTTCACCTGTCATTCCTAGTATTGTATATAATAGAAATTAAAGAAAGATTTTGGCTCAAAGTAAAGAAAAAAACCTTTTTTTTCTTTTCTTTTTTTTTTTTTAATCAATTAGACCTATCCAAAAGTAGAATGAACTGCCTCCAGAAGTAGTAGTATAGGAGGCTCATTTTCCCATTTATTGACTCGGAAAGTCCTAAGTTCAGGGATCACAGGGCAATGTGAACCACGAGATAGAGTAAAAAGAACTTTATTAAAGTAGTAGAAAAGATACGTAAGGGGAAAGTAATGCTTCTAATAGCAGGTGGAGGCTCTGATAACATCCCTCTGTAGTAGGCCGGCTGGAGGGGGAGCTGCCAGGAATATGGGTTTGTTCTGGGTAGAAGCCTCTGTGAGCTAACCCAGAACAGTGCTTTACACATGAGTTTGAGTTCTTTGTCTGGAAATCAGCAATTGGACATTGCCTAATAGGTGCTGCCAATGGTTCAGCACTTGAGTACAATGGTACAACACGTTAAGGAGAAATCAGAGAGTTCCAGAGAGAGAAAGAGAGACAGACAGACAGACAGAGACACTCTGTGAACTCTGTCTTTATGTAATGAACTTTCCTACAAATTCCCCATCTGCTACAGGCTCTTCCAGTGGAGTCTGGATGACTGCTTTTTCTTTCTTTCTTTTTTTTTTTTTTGTCTGGAGATGTTGTAGAAAAGGGCGTAGATCGAAACGGCTGGCTTCAGAAGTCTCTTTCCACCTTGAGATCCTCTGAGGAGGGGGAAATAGGAACAGTGGATTGACCCCTTAATAGTAGGGGTCAGCTGTGTCCAACTAGATCCAAATGGAAAGCTGTTGTGTTCTGAAACAGCTAAACTGAGGGTAAGGAGCTGAAATATAGAGAAGTTCCATCCAACCAAGGCACCTTGAAACTTCACAATAGGTCAGAATTTCTTCCATGATCTCCATCTTTTCGTGGGAATTCCTTGGGGGAGACCATGAGGCTGAGGTCATGGTCTGTTTTTAGTAGGTTTGCTGGAATTAGCTGTATATGGAGTTTTGGTGGAGTAAGTAAAGGCCTGAAACTGTCCTGGGCCCAGGCAGAGCATTTCTTTGTGAAAACAGATTTTTTTTTTTTGCTTTTTGAGTCACTTTTAAACCTTATAGCTTTGTTTCTTCTTTTAAATAATTATTGATGTGTTTTGTTTTTACATTTCATTTGCAGATTACATCTACTCCATGAGACTTCTCTTATAGCAAAGCAAAACAATTAAGTAAAACTAATAGAGTGGCTTCATCTGAAAGTGCAGGTGACATTCCACATCTGTAGCCTCCCCCTCCATCTATTTTTTTAATGAACAGGAATCTATTTTTTCCTCTCCTCCACACTACTGGGGGAAAAAACAAATTCCTTGTGATAAATGTATATAATCAAGCAAAACAAATTCCTTCAATGGTTATATGCAAAAATATATATCTCACTCTGCCTCCTAAATCCATCATGTCTCTGTTATAGATAAAATGTCTCATCATCAGTCCTCTGAAATCTTGAATGATCAGTGTTTTGATAGAATTCGCTTTCAAAGTTGTTTATTTTTACGGTATTATATTGTATACATTATTTTCCTGGTTCTGCTCATTTTATTCTTCACCAGTTTATAAAAGTCCTCAAAATCGTTCATTTATGTAATATTGATGTATAGTATAATTTATTCTTCTAGTTATGCTTTACTTCACTCTTCATCTGTTCATATACGGTTTTTTTGCATATGAAATCATCTTTATTTCTTACATCTTGATAGTTCTTGTTTTTGTTCTTGTTTTTGTTTTTGTTCAGTTGTGTCCAACGCTTCATAACCCCATTTGGGGTTTTGTTGGCAAAGATACTGGAGTGATTTGCCATTTCTTTCTCCTGCTCATTTTATAGATGAGGAACTGAAGCAAACAGGGTTAAGTGACTTGTTCAGGGTCATATAGCTGGGAAGTGCCTGAAGCTACATTTGCATTCAGGTCTTCTGGACTCCCAGGCCTGGCTCTCTAGCCATTGCACCACCTAGCTGCTCCTCATATTCATGTACCATAACTTAGCAGAACGAATATCATCCCTGCAACTCCAGGTTTTTTAAATCCAACTATAGCATAGTCAGTTTTATACTACCCTTAAAATTAAAATCTGTGTCCATTTTTAGGCATTAGATATCTATTTATTTAGTCACCTCTTAGATTTAGAAGGCTCTTTCTGGAAACAGTGCCATAAACTAAAGGAGTAATTTTGATTGTGGGAACTTAGGCAAGGTAGTAGGAAAGATGGCCTTGGGCAAGGCTATTCTGGACTTTTCAAATAATACTATCTAGAGCATTACCTGTTTGTCCTCTGCATGGGATTGGCTCTACTTAGGGTCTTTTTAGAAGGTGAATGGTGCATGGAAGAGGAAACTAAATGAATGAAGAGATTTTGCTCTGATAGGTATTGTCAATCCCAACTGGGCCATGGGGTACGTGAAATTTCTGAAGTTTCCCAGAAGTGCTTAGAAAATGGGAACAGTTTGCCAGCCTGTGGGCACAGGGGCCATATTTAGCATCCTGGCAAAAGCCACCTGTGGCATTTCATGGAGGTTGGCAGACCCTGTTTCTTGCTTTTGCACCCTCTCAGCTATGATTTTTTACAGTATTCCCAAGCTATGTCTCAGGAAGGCTTAGAAATAATAATAATAATAATAATAATAATAATAATAATAATAATATTTCTGTAGATGTTTAAATTTAAAACTTGCAAAACACTTTGCAGATATTATCTGATTTTATCCTCACCACAATCCTGAGAGGTAGGTACTGTTTTCATCCCTGTTTTACAGATGAGTAAAGTGAGACAGGCAGGCTCAGAACATGTTTTATTTGTGGCTTGCTGCATAGCTAACAAGGGTTAGAGCCAGCTTTTAATCCTATGTCTTCTGGCCCGAAGTTTAGATGTTTGTTCTCCATACCATGCCACCTACCTCTTAGATCTTAGGTACCTATATTAATAGCTCACATTTCTATAGCATCTTACAAGGCACTGCCACTCTAGGAATTAATATTCTATGTGAGGTGATATTCTGATCCCAGTTTTAGAGATGAGGAAAGTGAGCCTCAGTTAGGGGATTAATGTGATTTCCTCAAGGTCATACTGATAGTAACAACTGTAAGGACTTGAACCCTGGCTTCTGGCTTCCATTTCAAGGGACTTTCCACTTTGCCAGTCTCCTCAGTGATCTGCCTCTGGGGAATGGAGTAGCCAGGTGTGGGATGGTCATGTTTCAGAGCCACCTGTGTTTGATTACTCGTCCTCTCTGTCCTTAGCTATACTTATTAAAGGGTCATAATGAGGGCAATGCCAATGGCAATCTGAGTTCATACAGTGCAGGGGAATAATATCTCCAAACAGTCTTACCCTCTTACCTCTTTATAATCAAAATGGGGCCAAGATTGGGCAATATCACTTTACCTTTTCATAAAATACTAATTAAATCCACAGTAAAAGGATAGGTATGCATATGGGGGTGTGCTGGCTGTGTCCGGGCATCACCTAATATCTCAAAAGTAGGTATTTTGTATCTCATTTTTAAGTGTTTATTTTTAAAGTAAAATGGAGCTATTAATTAAAAGTTATTTTAGGTTTTTGAGCATGGTGAGAATTAAAATAATATCCTTTATGATTAAGCAGATCCAATAAATGTTCACCTTAAAAAAAAATTCCCTGGAGGTATACCCTAATGAAATGTGCTATACCCACCTGTGACTGACTGAAAGGTTTGGGGAGGAGAGGTGCTGTGTGCATTAAAAAAGCAAAAAGCAAAACAAAAACACTGACTTTCCTGGTAGGCTCCAAGGCTTCTGTGAGTCCTTTCCCCCTCCTGTTTATGTATAAATAAGCTCATGGTCCTTGGTAGTCTCATTTTGAATGGTGACAAGATCTGTAGCAGTTCCATTGGTTCATAAAAAGATCATTTGCTGCTGAACAGAATCTTTTTATCTTTTTTTTGGTGTGTGTGTCTCAAATCCCTTTGTTGGAGTGAGTTCCAATGAGGTGATTTCTCAGTTGGCTGGAACCACACAAGGAGGTTGTGCCAAGCATTGCTGAAAGTCATGCCCACTGGTTTAACATGGCAATTTCTGTCCCTGAGTGTCACCTCCGTCATATTTTCTTCAGGCCATCTGTTCCTCTGCACCTGGGGGGAAAAGAAATTAATTAAATTACCACCCACTCTCAGCTGTGTGGATGACAGGGAATAAATTAAGTGAAATCCAGCCATGTTAGGAGAGGGCAACTATCTTCCTGTATATGGGCTTCACAGAACTTGGATTTTTTTCCTCCTTCCTTCCAAATTTGTCTTCTTTGGATGATAACCTGCTGCTTTTCAAGGCCATTCTCTTCCCCCCCCCCCCCGTAAGCTTTTAGAGAAATGTTTGTTAGTGGGACAGAAAAAGTGTGAAGAAGGAGTCACCCTCCACAAAATGGTATAGAAGAAACCTCTGAATGCTGCCTGGCATTAAAGGATAATAGTGGGTACTTTCTGTACTTCGTTAATATATTCTTTGAATACATTGTGCTATAGAGGAAAGAGCACTGACTCAGGAGTCCAGGGGCCTAATTTAAAATTCTACTTCTGACACCACCCTGTGTAGCCCTGGGCAAGTAACTTCCCTTCCCCGGGCCCCAGTTTCCTCACCTGTTAAATGAGGGAGGTTGGATTTAATGGCCTCTGAGGTTCCAGTGATACTATGACCTATTATCGTGAGGACTTACAATTCTACCACCTAAGTTTTTTGAACAGCAAACTGCAGAGGCCTTTTCTGAATGGGGGGCTCATGGAACAACTGAAACCCCAATTCTTCCTTTGATTTATGGGTACAATTATTTTGTAAGTTCAAAGTGGAGAGAATGATACTTGCCCATCTCTTGGAGCTATCTGGAAGAGAGCACTTTATAAACCTTTTAGTGGTGATTTGGTAAAAGAGCTAGGGCCCATCAGACCATCCTTGGGAGAGTTCCCTGGGGTGTCTGGGTTGTTTCTTTTATGACTCAGAAGGAATTGTTACTCTAATTCCAAGTAGAATCTCCCATCCTTCTACCCCAGAGTGTTGAAAGGATTATAAAAGTACAGTCTCCACTTTGTGCTGAAGTTGCGTATAACAATTCTTAAATATTTTAGAACATATAATTGTTACTGGGTATAAATAGATTCCATTCATTTTACTAACATGTTATACTTAGAGATCTTAAAATTATCTATTCAGTTGTAACTCCAAGTTATAAAGCTGATTATGCTCAATTCAATGAGCTTTTTTCCTTTCAGGTTTTTTTTTTAATCAGTTTAAATTGCTTTTTTTATTGGAAACTTATTTTGTGAGCTGAGTAATTCATAGATTAGTCTCTTTAAAATTGTGAGGAAGGTCGAGCTTTAAACTGTCTTCTCTCTTCCCTTTCTAAAACAAAACCTAAGGGGTTCTGTGGATTGGTTGAACCTGGAAAATGGGAAGATAAAGTAATCTGAAAATTCCTCTTAAAAAATAAAATCAACGTAGGATGTGTTTGGGTTGGTTATACTTTAACGTTAAACTGTAACCTGTTCTGTGCTTTACAGAAACGAATCTTAGGTCCGTGAAAACAGGTGTATAACTTATCTTGTGGCCTCTTTCTCCAGGGCCTCTGTCTTTGATGCAGATTTGCCGACTACGCATTAGGAAGTGCTTTGGAATCAAACAGCATCATAGAATAAGCGAACTACTTCTTCCCGAGGAGCTGAAACGATTTCTCTTACACATCTAAACCTGTTCTTGTTTCCATAAATAAGAGGCCAACACACTAGCATATTAAAATCATCCTTCTTTAAAAAAAAAGAAGAAGAAGAAGAAGAAGAAGAAGAACACTGTGGGGCTGACTAGTGGCATTGTTGTTTTTGTGCCTTGTATTTCCAGAATAAAGTTGGATTATGTTGGACAGCACGGTTTCTTTTTGGTTAGGAAGGGATTCTGTTTGAATTTTCTCTTTGTCCTGGAAAGGGTGACCAGATAGCTGTGGGGTCTAAGCAGTGGTATGGGACTCAGTCAACCTTTAGGTTTCAGAGCAGGTTACTGCCTGAGTATTTGTTTTGTCTTTGAGACCATGCTGATGATGGCGAATGATTCTCAATGAGTTAATTTGAGCTACAACTTTAAAGTTCGGCTTTTAAGAGTTTTAGGAGGGGCTGGAGACTGGAGATTGGGGACACACAGGGCAGAGGGGCTGCACACAGACATAGATTTGGTTCCCTGGAGGGAGGACCACACACACATCCAGGCCGCCCCTCTAGGAAACCAAGTATTGTTTTGAGCTAGCCCCAGGTGAAGAAGATCAAGCAGAAGGAGAGGTTCTTGGACCAACTAGAAACTGGAGCTAGGTAGAGCCACAATTTGGGAAGTGTACCAAGGCCTGTGCTAGTCTAGGGGAGAGGGCTTGACTGGCTCTCAGTGCTGAAGTGTTTCCCCCTTAAGGGTTAGGGAAAACCTTGGGTGGTATTGTATTACATGGATGTGCTGATAGATATTTAACAACCAGCTCTCTGATGGTGGTGGTGGTAGGGAATGTATGCATGACACACCTTTAAGTTTAATCTGCATTATTAACATTTTATCCATCACTTTTAAAAGACTATGTATATAGCCAAAAGAATAATAAATCAAGCCCTCATTTATAGAGTTTGCCTGTAGAATTCCAAGATGTCTGTGCTCACATTGAAAATTTAACAATTGCTTTTTGTGAGCTGGTTCCAACTGTCTTCAGCACATCATTGGTGATAAATCTGAAGGATTTTATTGGTCCTTCTGGGACATGGGATTTCCTGGAGGGAAAAGAGAGTTCCCTTGACTGCTTAAAGATGGGTGCAAGTCCTTGGTGGGTTGTTTTTGTTTTATGGGTTTTTTGGGGGGAGGAAGGGTCTGGTTAAGTAAAGACTGGTCTATATGTTCCATTAACCTGAATGTTTGCATATAGTTGCTGAAGAGCCTTTCCTTTCTTTGTGGAGCCCAGGCATAAGCTAAATCCTGTTATTTTTATGAGAAATCCTGGGTGAAGACATGAGCTAGATTTGTGTGAGAATTATGCAAGACTAAACTTAGTTTGTGGTTTTAAATGGAGCTGGAAGATTATTTACATTACATTGTGTTGATTACATTAACTCATTTGACTTTTATGATGGCCTTATGTGGTATGTACTACTTGTTTTATTTTTATTTGTTGTTGTTTAGTCATTTTTCAGTCATATCTGACTCTTCAAGACCCCATTTTGAGTTTTCTTGGCAAAGATGCTGGAGTGGCTTGCCATTTCCTTCTCCAGATCATTTGACAAGATAAGGAAACCAAGGCAAGCAGAGCTTTGTGACTTGGCTAGGGTCCTACAGCTAATAAGTGTCTGAGGCCAGATATGAACTCAGGAAAATGAGCCTTCTTGACTCCAGACCTGCTCTATCCCCTGTGCCCCTTAGCTGCTTATCCTTATTATTGTTGTAGGTGGTGGTGGTGGTAGTGGTAGTAGTAGTAGTAGTAGTAGCATAGCTTGCATTTTGGTAGACGGTTTAAGATTTGCAAAGTCTTTTTCCTGAAAACTATTCCATGAGGTAGACAGAGAAAGTAGTATTTAACAACCAGCTCTGACTGAAGTAGATTTTACAGTTGAGCAAGCAGTCCCAGAGAAATGGCTTGCCTAAGGTCGCAAAGATGATAAATACAGGCCAAGACTCAAATCCAAGTCTCCTGACTCCAGACCAATATTTTCTCCACAGTACCATGACACCCTGATACCAAGGTATCAGGGCCCCTTCCCCTTGACTACAAGTCACAACAACTATGCATTCATGATTCTGTTGTTTGAATTGAAGCCATCAGTTGATTAGAAAAGATGTAGTCCTTTACTATTGGAGGAGGGAGAAGGATGGCCAAGTAAATAACACATAGAGTTTACCATGTTGGACTGAGTCCAGATATTGTAGACTCCTGTAACCCATGTCCTCCGCTGGCACCAGCAGGCCAGATCTGCAGACATTACAGCCGCAGTGTCTCCCTTCTAGGTTCTAGGGGCAGCTCTGAGAGGTGGAGGGGGTCTTTTTGATGCTGTCACAAGTCCCCACCGATGGACCTCCCCTGTGATTATCAGTTGACACCAATAAGTTAGCCAGACTTTTAGAAATGAGTATTTACTAAGGTAGTATGATAAGAACAGGGGTGTTTGGTGTGTTCAGGGAGGACTAACACCTCTGCTTTGAGGGGTTGCTCATCCATCTTGGCTTTCTACCTGGCACTCCACTCTCACCTGTGGCTCCAAGAAGCCGTAGCATGCAGTAAACCATCCCAGCAGATGGGCTAAACCAGGTTGAGAGTAACCAACATGGCTCAAACCTGTCAGTGAGTTAGGGGGATGTCTTACCCAAGCATGTGAAGACTTTCTCCTGCAGAATGGGTGGATGAGAACAATTTGTTCTAATAGCCCATGAAGGTGACTGAAGCAGGCACTGTGGAGCACTCAGAGCTTGGTCAGACATTGAAGATGCCGAGGTCATCCACTGCATCCTGGGCCACAGCTGGTCATCTTGACTTGTGCGCTGCCATTGGACTTTGATGACTCTGGAAAAGAGAGTGAGGCTGACAACTTTGTGCAACTCCGCCTCACTTAAATCCAGTTCAGGAGCATTATCCCATGATGTCATTGGTCCTCTCTGAAAATGAAGGATGAATAACAACGATATTGGCTGCTGAAGAATTGATACAAAAACATTCCCCTCCCAAGTCTGACACATTCTACAGTAAGTATGTATAGTGTCCCAGGGAAAGGCTTATGGCTAGATGATACATGTGGCAAAAGGGTAATTTGCAGTTCCTGAGGGTCATTTTTTATTGGAGTTTTAAGATGTTCCCATTAAGTATGGTGTAGCTTCTCAGCTATTGAGCTTTTCTTAGGTCTTTCTTAGGCAGAAAAGTGACTCAGTGGATAGAGCTCTGGCCCTGGAGTCAGGAAGGCTTGAGTTCAAATCCAGCGTCACATATTTCCTATCTGTGTGACTCTGGGCAAGTCAATCTGTTTCTGCCTCAGTTTTCTCAACTGTAAAATGGGAAATAATAGCATTTACCTCCCAGGGTTGTGGTGAGAATCCAATAGATAATATTTATGAAGTACTTAGCCAAGTGCCAGGCATATGGTAGGTGCTTGGTAAATGCTTCTTCTCTTCTTACTCTTTCCTCATCACACCCAGCCTATCCTTGACTTCTCAGTCACTGCTCTCCACAGGGATGCTGTTGGGATGCTAATGGAAAGTCTAAACTCTTTGATCTTTTGAAGTTCAAAAGTTCCTTCTTTCTCAAATCAACAAGTAAGAGTAGAGAGAAGACTAAGGCCAAGACTGAGGAAGGGGCCAATGCTCTTCTCCTTTGCCCAAGTGATTGCTTCCCAGGGGTTTGGCCAAAAGTCTTCAGCTCTAAGGTACCAGATGCTCAGCTAGCTCCTTGGTTTTACTTGTGTTCTGTAGGACATGACCAAGTCCTTCAACCCTCCTAATTGAAATGCCCTCCATGGATTGATTCACAGAGGTGTGGAGTCTTTGTTCAAGCCTAGTTCACACTTTTGAGTGATTGATGCAGTGAATGTATGGACCTGATGGAGGCATCATGGCTAAGGTGTGGGGTAGGATGATTGATTGATCCATTGATTCAGTTGCCTCCCATGCCTACACAGTGAAGGCAGAAGCCATTGGGAATGATGTATCTTTTGTTAAGCAAGTCATTTGCTCTTTGAACTTGCCCTTTGTGAAACACAGGAAGGATCTGAAAATTCATTATCTCCAGCTCTGACTTTGCCCAGCACCCTCACTTCATGCCTTTATTTTGCCCAAGAGTGTCATTTAAAGAGATGTGGCTCTAAGAATTGATAAATTGTAGTTTTTTTTTTTCCACTGGCATTTCTTTGAGTGATCCTCATTCAGTCGATTCACTGCAGCCCTGTAAAATTGGCCTGTAATATAAAAATATCAAGCATCATTGTGTCTGACCTTCATTACAGAATGGCAGCTAGGTAGCAGAATGAGTGGAGAGAGTATTGGACTTGAAGCCAGGAAGGAAGCACTGGGTTTGAGTCCAGCCTCCTATACTTACTAACTGTGGTGCCAACCTTTCTCACCCTCAGTTTGCTGACCTGTAAAATGGGGATGATAATAGCACCTATCTCACAGGGTTATTGTGGAGATCAAGTGAGGTGACAAAAGTAGAATGCTTTGCAAACATTGAAGTGTACAGTAAATATCGGTTGCTAGTATTTTGAAAGCAGTACCATATCTTTATAATACTTTGAACTAGTCCACCTTGTCTCATCCCTATCATAAGCTGGCATCTGAAAACCTGCCATCATTGTACTTTGAGCTGATTCCTTTCTCACTCTTGACCTCTTCAGCCTTTGTGAACTATTTGCAAATGGGCTACCTTTATTTCAACTCTATCATACAGGAAATCAAACTTAGATAACTGGCTACCTGGCCAGATAGTATTTAAGTATTTGAAGAATTTAAAGAGCCATAGTATGTAAAGAGTTAAAAGGGCCTTAACAATTAAGAATTGTGAAGTCCTGATTAAAAAAAATCAATAGTTTAAAGGCAAAAGTGAGGTTTTTATCTTGAAAAGATGAGGGCTTCAAAATTTTGTTGTTCAGTCACGTCCAACTCTTCATAACCCCATTTGGGGTTTTCTTACCAAAGGTACTGGAGTGTCTGCTATTTCCATCTCCATCTGTAAAATGAGAAACTGAGGCAAAAAGTGACTTGCCTAGGGTCACACACCTAGTAAGTGTCTGATGCTAAATTTGAACACAGGGAAATGAGTCTTTCTGACTCCAGGCTCAACACTCTACCCATTGTACCATCTAGCATCTCCGTTTTCATAATAGAAAACTGAAGTAGGGAAGTGAGTACCTGATGACAAAG